CATCAATAGGGAGATCGATAAAACGCCATTCATTTCCATTGTTGCCTCTAGGCTCAGTATGCTTCAACACACGATAAATGTACCATTTTTTCTATTTCATTTCGAGCTTTTCTAGCCTCGTATAGGCCGATTCTTACCAAAAGCAGTTTGATACTATACAGACGAGCCAATCGCGTAAGTCTCCACAACTGATTCAACCTAACTACATGTCTACGCATATAGCTACAGATAGAGTTCTTGGCAGGATTTTATCATAATGAGACTCTACCCTCCCAAGAGAGCGTATGAGTTCTACACGACCCTTGCTTAGCTCACGCCAATTCCCACAACCTGATATTCTTCGCTAAGCAATACTGAATTCTGTTTGTCCTATTCAGCAATCCAGTAGGTTAGAAGAACTAGCTCAGGCTTCGATTCGCGAAACTCAGAGACTAAGCGCTAGGCTAGTTCCATGATTACTACTAACAAAAAGTCATATGGTCGTGTTCATATTAGTATGGAATTGTATAAGGTTAGTTTTATAAGACTATTTAGTCTTCTTATCTCTTTTCAGTTATTTCAGCTTCGAAGGGGTGGCGGTACTCTACCGGTACTATTATGCTTTGTCTCTCATGACTCTCAAAAGATAAGGTTATTCCTGAGGTTGATTAACCACCTGAGTGAGCATGAGCGCAGCCTTGTATACACATAACCTATCAAGGTACCCCTAGTCAGCCACTACTCCCCAAAGTGTTCACGGTGTGGCCACACCACATCTTTTCCTCGCAGATAAGTCACCAATCAGTCACATTCAACACTTTGAGCTACTGCGCATGAGGTCTCCACACCATCATCAGTCCCTGTCAGCAACCTAGCTCTATGCATCTCTCTGCATATGGCATCCCGCCATTCTTCTTACCAGACTATAGGAGTACGTATACTTCTTCATTCCCTGCCTCCTATTATAGCAACTCGTATTCATTATCTAGCTACTCACAAACCAATCTTCAAGTGTCTGATTTCTCAAGTGACATGTAATATATGAAACCGTCTAATTCCTTCGTCAGTTCAGTTCATTGAGCATGCTTTATCATATTCAGTCAGGTCGGGGAACCCAAGTTGTTGAACAAGTCTTACGAGTAGTTTGCTCAATATAACCCCAGAACAACATTGCGGCTATTATTCAGTCTATAATACTGTCTATCGCCGAACTCTCCCATCATCTCTAATCAACCTTGATCTATCAAATTGCACCGAAGGATCGCCCGTTTATTTCCGCTTTCGTATACTTCAACCAAAATAAGTCTACATCCCATGACGCTGTTGTCTTATGCTTAAACATCCTAGACACCCTTTTCTCTCCGCTGCAGTGCAACAGGTTATCCTCGTCTCCCGATTATCCGAACAGGGTTCGATCCTGCAAGGGTGCAATCTGATCGACCGTCAAAGCCGTCGAGATCCTCTGATCTGCGAGATTCCACCCCTTCTTGCATAGCCTAGGGCCCCTGCACCCTCTTGAGCTTGGCCGGGCTATCTCATGATGCACCATCCCCACAGTAGCCCTCCATCAACCACGCACATGCATTATGGATACGATGAGACATACGCAAGCACTATCTTTCTCAAGTATCCTTTCTTTTCCGCTAAAACGGATATACTGTCGCTCAGTGCATAGGCGAACCTATCGGTTCCAAATTAAGCTCTTTCGTCAAGCTCGCAGTAGTCACATCCGGTAGTCTCGATTCTTAGACGTATCGTACTTCTATCCGTATTTTAGTACCATCCTGACCCTGAGTTGGATTTCTGAACGGCCGCGGTGTAACCTGGCCCTATACATAATCAGAGATGTTCGCCCGTCCGCTAGATCCATAATTTTCCCACAAGACTCTCCCATGCAAACCACACAGAAGGGGATGGTCCCAGTAAAAGAGTCATATATAGCGCTGCATGTCTACATGACGCGCAGGTTCTATAGAGGTCATATATCCGCCGGGGGGGGGGGGGGGGGGGGGGGGGGGGAGGAAAAAAAAAAAAGAACAAACAAAAACACGCGGCGGCCGCGACACCCGAAGAAGAAATATATAC